CTTTGTTACTGTGTGGATTCTGACACGTGCTGAAGAATTTGATGCAGAATGACTAAAAACTTGTAAAAACAGCAGAAATTAACTTCCTCGTGCAAAAGAGAAAAGTGAGTTTAATCTCCTTAAGGGCAGTGGAAAGACAAGGTGTCATACTAAAATGGCAATGTACATGCATAAATATGCATAAGAAAATAGAGATGTATATAGAATCATAGAATTTTAGGGGTTGGAATGGACCTTACAGATAATCTAGTCCCAACCCCTGCCCTGGGCAGGGACACCTCCCACCAGAGCAGGTTGCTCAAGGCTCATCCAACCTGGCTGTGAACACCACCAGGGTTTGGGACATCCACTACTTCCCTCAGCAACCTGTGCCAGTGTCTCACCATCCTCACAGGAAAAAGGTTTTTTCCTGCTATCTAACCTAAATTTCCCCTCTTTGAATTTGTACCCATTGCTCCTTGTCTTGTCAAGGGATGACTAGAAACTTCAGATTGTAGGTAAAGAACTGAGAGTGTTGTAGTTGCCTCCTGCTTGAGTTTCTCAGTTAGCAATGATCTCAGCTTGCTCACATGATTTTAGTGCAATCCTTTTATAATGAAACCTCTGTTGCTGTATGCATCCATGCTCTTGGTTTGATTTACCAGTACCTCAGTGATTTAAAACTGGTAAAGAGTTGTAATCCAGTGTTCCTGTTTTTATTTGACAGGCCGGACCTGATAGACATGAGTACCGTTGCTGTTCAAAGCAACCTTGCAAATTTAGAACATGCTTTTTTTGTAGCAGAAAAACTTGGTGTTGCCAGACTTCTGGATCCTGAAGGTAAGATAGCTACAGAGGGCTTTGTTGCAAAACCCCTAGCATTACAATAAAATCCAACCTCCTTGCAGGTTGTAGCATATTTGTGGGCATTCTTACAACTATGTGATCAAGTGCTGTTCTGTCTTGCTCTTTCAGATGTCGATGTTTCCTCGCCTGATGAGAAGTCAGTAATAACTTATGTGTCATCACTTTATGATGCATTTCCCAAAGTACCAGAAGGTGGTGAAGGCATCAGTGCAAATGTAAGTAGGAGAGAAATCCTTGTGCAGTGTGTGAACTTCTGAATTTCACATCCAGAATGTTAGCTGAAGCTTCTGTAGGGCTGTTGTCACACTCTGCTTTGACAGGATTTTACTAGGTTGAGATTCTAGAGTCTTAGCTTGTTCGTCTTGTAGGCATTAAAATACTTGTGCAAAGAGCTTAACTAGAAGCTGAATTTGGAGAAAGATCAGTTTGAAATTTACTAACCTAGAAAATAAATGTGTTTTCAGTAGAATTGTTTGGGACCAAAATTGTTGAAATCATATATTTGGAAACTTCGAGTGATCTGTTATGAGCAAGTCAATTGGCTCTTGTTGGTTTCAGTGAGATGAGATTTTGCTCAGTGTCTTTGAAAATCCCTTCTTCCTTTTTGGTGTTTTGGCTAAGATGATTCCTAGTGCTGAAAGAAGCAGAGAGTAACACACTCTGCACAGATAACTGCAAGATCAAAAGGCCAAGTCTCACACAGCAAACTTAAAGGACAATATTAGTTGTTAATTATTAGACAATATTGTTTCAGAATTGCAGCATTTCAAATCATAGAATCATAGAATTTTAGGGGTTGGAATGGACCTTAGAGATCACCTAGTCCCAACCCCTGCCCTGGGCAGGGACACCTCCCACCAGACCAGGATGCTCAAGGCCTCATCCAGCCTGGCTTTGAAAATCCCTTTTCTATGTGTGTGAAGATCTCAATCTTCAAAGCTAAAGCCAAAATGAGCTCTCAGATGATTTGCATCTGTTCTTTAATCTTGGGTTTTGCTTTGGTAGGATGTTGAAGTCAAATGGGTTGAATATCAGAATATGGTGAACTACCTCATGCAGTGGATCAGACACCATGTCACAATAATGTCTGACAGAACATTTCCCAACAGTCCTGTGGAATTGAAGGTGAGGTGTGCTGGCTGAAACTCCTTGTTGGAATTACACTTTATCTGACTGACTCAAAGCATGCTTGAACAAATGACATGCTTGTTGATTTAGACAGTCGAATCAACTGCAGAACAGTACTGCTCTTTAACCTTTTCCAAGTACAACAAATGCATTACTAACAGGTTAGCAATCAAAAGAAAATCTTTAGCTTTCACTGATTGTTTTTTGCAGAACTCTAGTAGAACAGTATAATGCTAAGCTTGTGAAGAATATTAGGAGAGGGTTTAGAGAGTGAGGTTATGTTCACTGTAATTAGAAGTTGATGATGTTTTTATGTTTCTTTAGGCACTTTATAATCAATATTTGCAGTTTAAAGAAACAGAAATTCCACCAAAGGAGACAGATAAATCAAAAATCAAACGTCTATATAAACTGCTAGAGGTAAGTTTTAATGTGCATCGAAATTCATAGAAGTTCCTTTTCTGTGGCTGAAAATAACAAATATCTATGAATTGTTAAGGTCTGGATAGAATTTGGACGCATCAAACTTTCTCAAGGCTACCATCCAAATGATATAGAAAAAGAATGGGGAAAGCTTATTATTGCCATGCTGGAAAGAGAGAAGACCCTTCGGCCTGAAGTGGAGAGGTATGTTAGTGAATGTCTGAAAGGTTTGGCTAATGTATTTACATTTGGTTTAACCCATATTGAAATTTGTAAGTGTCTTTTTCCCTAACAACATCCACATCATTTTTCTAAATCAAGTGATTCTGCCTTTGTTCAAGGCCTGAAGTTCTTTACCTGCTTCATAGGCAGAAATAACTTTGGTGGTCTCAGAATGTCGTGATGAATAGTGTCTGTGCCTCAGATCATCAAAGCACTTACACACAAATTAACCACCTTCTTTGTACAGTGGGTCAGAGCTGGGTTTGTATCACTTGGCTGTCTCATTTGGGCTTGATGGCATATAAGCACCATCCTCATCCTTTACATGAAATATGTATTTCAGTTGGTGCACAACAATGTGGGCTAACATCCTGCTCAGTTTCTCTAATGTCAGTAGCACTCGAGAGCACACAAAGTGTTCAGATGTTCAAAATGCACAGTAGCCTCCCATGATGGTAGGATATGTGACACTGTTTTGTACATCAGGCATAACATGTTGAGAATGATTAAAGTCCTGATGCAGTCTGAGAGCATTTCTGCTTTTTAATGGTAGAGCTTTTAAGTTCTGTGGCAGATACAGGTGCTATCCATTTAATAATAAATAAACTCCTTTCTTCTTTGAGTTACATAATTCTTTAGGCTTCTACCTGTGGGCAGATATAGGCACTTGGGTCTGAGTTCATTCTGCTTAACTTTAAGCATCCAAAGAGACTCCTGAGATCTGAATCACTTTCTAGAGAATCCTGTCACTAACTTTCTGGTGACGATAGGGTGATCTCTCTCTGTTTAGTTACCTGAAATTAGGGATGAAGATTCCAGACCATTGTATAGGAAATCCTCAGAAAGATACAGATTTCAGCTGGAGAAGATCCCAAAGACAAAGTTGATTAAATATGTGTCATGCCTACAAAAGAAAGAGCATGACTGAAACGGTGGATTCAGTGGGAGGTGATTCACCCTGCTGGGAAACAAGTTTCTACAGAGGAATACAAAGTTGTCCCCACAATACAGAGTTGTCCCCCATGTGCAGAGCAGAACACTGGAAAGCAGCAGCAGAAACACAGCCTGCTGGATCTTGTAGGTTAATCTGTCCCAACCTGCCAGGAGCAAAGCTACTACCTGGCTTCACCAATAGAAATTCTGTCCATACTTGCAGAAAGCTGGATTATCTTTGAGGATGTGTATAACTGACATCAGTTTATTTCTTTTTTTATTCATATGGACTGTGCACAGGTAAACATGAATCTGGACTCCTTCCCATATTTCAGGAATGGTAAACAAACTAGAAGTGACAGATAATATGGTGATAGTCACTACATGTGATGGTCACTGCCAAATGAGAGAAAATTTTCATCAAGTGATTCTGGCTTAGTCACTGAGTTAAAATGATCAGTTGATCAGGACACAAGAACATCATCCATGTTTGTAGTACTGGTTACCAGTGCATCTCATTAATAGGAGCTGATGGTACACCCTCTGGGGTGGTATTTGGTTGTGGCAAAAATGTGACCAAAACTAATATTGAAACCTGGAAAGTTATAAAACTTTGTGTGTAAGTCTGGTGAATACATCTGAAAATATCAACACAGGTAGATGATGTGTGGCCAGATTGGTGTATGGGATCAATACCAATATGATGTCAGTGAGGAGAGTGCCAAACTGAGCTCTGGTTTGCAGAACCAGCAGGGTTTGGTATTGCTGCAGGATTGTCTGTGCCTCTGCTGTGCTGCTCTGGGTGAAGTCACCTTATGGTGGGTGTGGTTGTTCAGGAATCCGAAATGCAAGGGTAGAAATGCTGAAAAAAAATCATCCCAAACCCTAATTATGACTTAAAATGTAAACTTAAAAGCAGTGATCACATTTTTTTCTTCATTGTTTTGTGGTCAAACCAGCAGAAATCAATTGGCTGTGAACGTGGAAGAAGGTGAAGGGAAGTTTGCAGGGGGACAGGGCAGTTAGTAAACACACATGCTTGGACAGTGGAGTAATGGTGGGTTGGATGGTGCACAGGTGTCTTAGATTATATTGTTATGAGCTGATATTTTACAGAGAGAGTGCTCTAGCATTGGAATGTGCTGCCCAGGGAGGTGGTGGATTCCCCATCCCTGGAGGTTTTCAAGCTGAGACTGGATGTGGCACTTAGTGCCATGGTCTAGTGACCACGGTAGGGTTGGACTTGATGATCTTTGAGGTCTCTTCCAACCAGGTTGATTCTATGATTCAGTGATTAACTCCCTCAGTTATATTGTGCAGTTCTATCTGAAGCAAAAGGAGCCAGCCCAGCCTGGAGGTTACCTGTACTACCGAGCGTGGATTTCTTACTTCATTCCTTTTTGAAGCTTTTCCTTGATGAGTCTGAGAAACACTGCAACGAGTTCCTTTAGTTCTTCTTAGGCTGATAGTTATTTAGTGACACTTAAATAAAATATTTGGCCTGTCTGTTTCCTAGAGACGCCCTAACGTTGCTGCCTAGTCTGTACTTGCAAAACTTTTGTACAAGGTAGAGAAGCCAAAAGCAAAGTAGCGTACACAGCCGCGGGGCAGAGCCTTTGAAGAGCTGGCAGGATGTTAATTGCTGGGGTTTGACTGTGTGTACCAAAGCCTATTTAAAGGAGGAGTGTGAGGTGTTTCAAAAGCCAGTAGTGGCATTTCATCCCTAGAAGCTGTGCATTTTTGTAGGAGTTTTATCTTTCCATTTTTTCAGCAGATGTAAACAGCCAGGAGGACCAAGCTCTGGATGTAAAAATGAACAGCAGTAGTTATAGTTATCACAGCAGTGATTCACTGTTTAGCAACAGTACTAGTACTCGAACCAGCGTTGACTCTAATGAGAATTTCCTTTCTGTTAATTGTGGTCCCACGCTGATTAAATCTTGTATAAGCTTTGGTAATGGCACCTTAGAAGGGAACAGGTAACTTGGCATACATATATATTTGTGCTTTGTGTTAGGTGCTGGTGATTTGTTTGTTTGATTTTTAAAGTCATGCAGTGCTTGAGAAATGACATTAGTACTTGTTTTTCTGAAATGCTTTGGCATCACCTAGGTTGGAAATGCTGCAGCAGATTGCAAACAGAATTCAGCGGGACAGTCGGAGCTGCGAGGACAAACTGATTCTTGCTCGGAACGCTCTGCAGTCTGTAAGTGTCACTGACTTTCCTTGTCTATGAGTGAACTTAGAGCAGTAGAATGGCTACTTCAAGAAAAATTCTTTAGGATTTTTGGGGGCAACCTTAGAGCTGCTATTTTTATTTTTGTTGTACTATTAATGTAGCATTTCTTCAAGAAAAGGCTGCCAATTGCCTAGAGTGAGTTTTGTTACCTACTTTTTTTGCTGGTGGTTAGATAAAATACTTCATAATTGTTTCCAGATCAGAATAAGTTTTTACCAATAAAAAAAAAAAGGAATTCTTTCAGCTGTTTTCTCCTTGGTTTAGCTGCAAGGCTTACTATCTCTTATTTATTTAGGACACCAAGAGATTAGAGTCAGGGCTCCAGTTCCAACATGAGGCAGAGATCGCTGGGTATCTCCTTGAATCTGAGAACCTTCTCCGCCAGCAAGTGATCGATGCCCAAATTCTTATTGATGGAAAATACTATCAAGCAGATCAGCTTGTTCAAAGGTACTTTGCAGTGTTGGTTACGTGAATAAGTAAATGTTGCAAATGTGGATCCCCATTATGGACAACATTTTCAGTTCTTTGTGTCTGTGGATAAACTTCATCTGTCTCTGGGCACCTAACTACAGATTATCAGGTATTCTGGTGGGAGCATTGCCCACAAATGTTGATGACAAGAGGAGCTGTTTGTACTGATTTGTGAAAATGAAGTAATGACTTAATGTTTAATGTTTGCTAGATATCTGTGTGAGAAGATGTTAGCTGTTTTGGTGCACCTAAATTGCCTTTAGAATTCACTAGCTTTAATTTTTTAAATTGGTGTGAAGTTTCTGGTGACAGCTGTAAGTGAATTAACAGGCAGTAAGTGGGGTGAGATTAGGTTATATGTGGCAGTATGTACAGTCTTGGCAGAAAGAAGCATGTAAACAGCACAGCTCAGTTTTATGAAGAAGTGGCTCTGAAGTTTTTTTAGGATTCATCCTGGACTGGGTGAGATCAAGCACATAGCTCCTTGGCAGTGACCTGCAAGTGTTTGATCTACTGCAACATGTAGTATCTTGTAAGATTTCTGCTTTGCTGATTGTTCCCTGGAATTGTGTGTAGTGCATGTTATTACCCATACCATGCTGATTTTTTCAGTCATTGCCTGGTTTCTGCATCTCTTCCCTGTACAGGCTGACATACCCTGTCCTTTCTGATAGAAATGCTGATTTATAAACATTTAAGTGCAACTAAATAGTAAGAGATGATGCGAGTTCACATTGCTATTCAGTTCAGCATGATAAACCTCAATCATAAGCAGTCACTGACATGATATTTATTTACTTATTCATTTTTCTTTGCCGTGACAGAGTTGCAAAACTTCGAGATGAGCTGATGGCTATAAGGACTGAATGCTCCTCCGTGTACAACAAGGGCCATGCAATGACCACAGAGCAGACAAAGATGATGATATCAGGAATAACCGAAAGCTTAAACTCAGGATTTACAACCAACCTAACCCCTGAATTAAATGCTGCAATGACCCAAGGTTTAACACCTGCTTTGGCTTCTTCTGGCTTGACATCTGGCCTTACATCAGGTCTTGCTTCCAGACTGACACCAACCATCACTCCCACATACCCACCAGGCATCCCACCACGGTTAATCCAGAGCTATGGGTCAGGGGTAGACAGTGGGACTCTGCAAACACTCAAACTGATGCAAATCAGGAAACCTCTTATGAAATCAGCTTTTGTGGATCAGAATTTGACAGAAGAAGAGGTGAACATGAAATTTGTCCAGGACCTATTGAGCTGGGTGGAAGAAATGCAGGTAGAAATCTTTATGGAAACAGTGCACTTATTGTGTTTACACGTTGTAGCTCATTGCTAATGTTTATTCTCTGTTCATAAGGTGCAACTGGATCGAGCAGAATGGGGGTCAGATTTGCCAAGTGTGGAGAGCCATTTAGAAAATCACAAGAATGTCCACAAAGCTATTGAGGAGTTTGAATCCAGCCTTAAAGAAGCCAAAATCAGTGAGGTACTGCACCACATTCTGTATTGCTTTGGTTACTTTCTTACTGGGTGACCCATAAATGAATGCTGAATTTTAGAACCGTGTGGATTTTCAGGGTCTTGCTATTACTTCTGATCCCTAGATGAGTTATGATGAAATCAGATCCAGTGGTTTTAACATATCTAACCTTTTTGTTGTCTTTTGACCTCCTATGCCAAATACAGATCCAAATGACTGCCCCTCTTAAACTCAGCTATGCAGAAAAACTGCACAAGCTGGAGAGTCAATATGCAAAACTCTTGGTAAGTTTCTCATACCTTTTCCATGTGCAGCTTTTCAGTGTGCAAAATCTTTTCAAGTCTGATTTTGGTAAAATCTTTTCCTTTACACAAAGAATACGTCAAGAAATCAGGAAAGGCATCTAGATACTCTTCACAATTTTGTGTCTCGTGCTACCAGAGAACTGATATGGCTGAATGAAAAAGAGGAGGAAGAGGTTGCGTATGACTGGAGTGAAAGAAACCCTAACATAACAAGAAAAAAGGAATACCATGCAGTATGTATTGCTAGTATAGTGCAGATAATAATGAAATACTTTTATAATTTAAGAGATTTCTAAAATGTATTTTCTTTTGTCTGGATAAAGGAATTAATGAGAGAGCTCGATGAAAAAGAAGAAGTTATAAAATCAGTACAAGAAATAGCAGAGCAATTGCTTGTTGAAAATCACCCAGCCAGGCTAACCATTGAGGTAAGTTAGTAAAAACAGCACAGCAACAAGAAAAGTTTGGAGATTGATCAGAGCTTAGTTTTTGGGGAAAAGAAGGGAAGTGCTAACTTAGAGGAAATTAAACAAGACTCTGAATAAAAGGGCCTTTTTTTTCTTTCCACTTTACCAGCTCTCTTATATCTGTCTTCCAATTTCCAAAAAGTAACACCACTTTTATAAAGTTACAGTTACATCTTAGATTGCTTGGATGAAATCCCCCTAAAGTCTAAAATTAAACTTTTTGGAGCTGGTCTGTACAGATGTTTCTGGTCACCTTCTGGAGTTATTGATACAAGTTGCATTGGCAGATTGAGGGCTCAGAACAGTCCTGATGTGTTTCCCTCCTGTTGGATTGGAAGGAGTTTCAGTAAGGGCTTTTCTAGTCCCTCATTGTATGTACACATTCCTATAATGGTTTAGGGTTGGTTTCATAACTTCTGTCAGTGAATTATGAAACTTATCTGGATGTTAAAAATCTGACCAAGTGATGTGATTTATTTCAGGCTTGAATCAATCTATGCAATAGGTAAATGATTTATACAAAATTTGTTGTAAATGTTATAGGGTCACAACAGGTTTCTAAAGGAGAATGTAAAAGACTATTCCTGGTAGATCTTCAAGAAAACAAAAATACAGAGAGTAGATGATAAAAATTGAAACAATGAAAAGATGATTTATTATATAGGAATGGAAAAAGTCAGGAAGGTGGATTTTTATTTTTCTTCAGGTTAGTGAATTCACAGCTGCACAGACTGGAAACAGGAAGGAAAGCTCCTTCCTTCCAAAGCAGGGAACATGACATTTACTTTGAATAGTCAAGGATTTTTTATGTCATATGGCTATATCTATTCTTTAAAAGTATATGCTGTTGTAATGGGTTCTTATCAGTGCAGTATTGATCAGGCACTGGAATAGTTTGCCCAGGGAAGTGATGGAGTCACCATCCCTGGAGGTGTTTCAGAGGTGTCTGGATCTGGCACTGGAGGATCTGGTTTAGGGTTTAGTGGTTCCAGCAGTGACAGGTTAATGGTTGGACTTGATGATCTCAGAGGTCTCCTCCAACCTTGATGGTTCTGTGATTGTATGAATATCCTCAATATATGAATACATTAAAGATGCTGTTATGAAACCAGGTCACTGCAGCAACGATGACTCTGCAGGTTATGCTCTCTCCAATATTGCTGTATTGGGATATTTACAAGAAAGATATATCTTTAAAAAAATCCCTTTCTACAGAAGAACTTATGTATTAATGCATCAATTTGAAATTCCTTGAAGCCAAGGGAAAAAAACTCTCTTGAATTCCCTAATAATCATACAGAATTGAAAAATCCAGAGTTGTGGTTTATTTGGCAAGGACAAGTCTTGAAGCCAAGGGAAAAAACCTCTTTTGAATTCCCTAACAATCATACGGAATTGAAAAATCCGGAGTTGTGGTTTATTTGGCAAGGACAAGAGCTCTCTCTGCTGGGGATGTTCGGTGCAGCCCCTGGAGGAGGCTCCGAGCTTGGAATTCTGCGCAACTCCTAGGCAAAATTCCACATTGCAGCGAGTCCTGATTATACTTTTGTTCAGTCGTGTATTCAGTGTTACTTTAATATCCGATTTGTGTCCGGGCAAGACTCCAGCTGTTTTGAATTGAGTGAATAGAGACACAGAATTGTAGATCGGTTTAGACTGGAGCAATCTCAGGAGTTGTAGTGCAGTTCTTGTTTGGAGCAGTGTTTGACCAAACTGTGACTGGGCCAGAGGATGATGATTTCACAGCCCCTCTGGGAAAGTTTTCTTATGTTTGACTATCACAGAATCATCGAAGTTGGAGGAGACGTCTAAGATCATCAGGTCCAACCATTAACCTGTCACTGCTGGAACCACTAAACCCATACCCAGATCCTCCAGTGCCACATCCAGACACCTCTGAAACACCTCCAGGGATGGTGACTCCACCACCTCCCTGGGCAATATCCCA